GTGGTACAAACAAATAAACAGAATGAACTATCACGCTGTACAAATCACACTAGAGACTGGTGATCAGAGCCTGATTCCTCGCTACTTGGAACATACCTGTAGACTTTGTGTCATTTTGAATCTTGCCAGAGCTGGGCTGAGCCCCGTCACTAAAGAAAAGCGGCCTGGTGAAGCCCCAAGAAACAGCAAAGCAACCGAGGTGTGCCGTTGCTGCCCCTTTGGTTCGCGCTACAGCTAGTCCTGACCTCATGCCGTCTACCACGTGCTTTCCTCTGTAAACTCTTCTCTGCACCATGAGCTGGTGACCACATCAATCTGAAGAGAGACGTGTACTTTCAAGGACTATTAGGTCACTATTCAACGGGTGTGTCAGGAGGGCGATGTCAACCCCCTCCTGACTATGCAAGAAATCAATCCTGTAGTTCTCGCCAGTGCCGGGAAACTGGTCCTAGACCGTTCCTGGGAGGTCCCGGGACCCTGGCTCAATGTCCACAGAGAGGCGACAGCCAGAGGAAGGGAGGGTGTAGCGGCCGCGGGACCACTTGGGCGGGCCGTCAGGGATCCGACCGATGGAGGCAGGGTTGGAGGGTGGAATGTAGAGACCAAGACCCCTTGGGAACCCGGCTGGTTGCTCGGTTACTTTAAGAAATGGGTGGTGGGCGAAACAGGTGTGGAGGCTGAACGAATAAAAGAACCACACAGGTGAAGCCAGGGAGGAGCGAGGGAGAGTTCACGAGGAGACAGAGAGGAGGGAGAAGGATCCACTCGGACTCGTCTATGTGAACTTTCCCGGTTGTGGCTAGTGATAGTAACTAGACCAACAACAATTCTGAGGCAAAACCTGGACCTGGGGTTCATCCTCCCAACCTGGATTCGACTCACGACGGTGCCGAACCCCCTGCTAATCCTGAGCGTGACAGGGTGCAATTGTCATTTACGCACGGGGGCAAAACCATTTGTTATGTGTATTCATTTTGGTTGTAAGTAGAACTGTATAAGAGGACAGGAGTCTCTCGTGTGATGTGTACAGGGCAACAGATTATTCTGTTTGTTTGTTTGTTTGTATAACTGCATTTGCTGTATTTCCATTTTTGTGTGTTTGTTAACCTGCAGGTGGTAGCTGGAGGTCTCCTGGGATTACAACTCCCCTGGAGAAAACGGCTGCTTTGGGAGGTGGATTCTATGGCATTATTCCCGAGTGAAGTCCC